AAAATAGAAGGGCAAACTCTGATTCTGATCTTATTACTACACAGGAAAACCAAGTACCAGCTTTAATTTTTACACTGAAGTTTAAGCTGAATTTAAATTTTTATGTTCAGTTTCTCCATGCCCAATTTCTGAATCATAGGAAATAGATTTTTGGCCCTGGCTGGTGCGGCTCAGTGGACTAAGTGCTGGCCTGTAAGCCAAAGGGTCGCTGGTTCGATTCCCAGTCAGGGCACAGGCCCGGGTTGCGGGCCAGGTCCCCAGTGGGGGGGCACACAAGAAGCAATCACATGTCGATGTTTCTCTCCCTCCCTTTCCCTCTCTCTACAAATAAATAAATAAAATCTTTTTTTAAAAAAGAAAAGGAAAAAGAAAAAGAAATGGGTATTTTCCCTGGCCGGTGTGACTCAGTTGGTTGGAGCATCATCCTATAACCAAAAGGTTGCAGGTTCGATCCCCAGTCAGGGCGCATATGACCCCTGGCATGTACAGGAGGCAATGTTTCTCTCTCCCTCCTTTCCTCTCTCCCTTCTTCTCTCTCTAAAAACAAAAGAAAAAAATGTCCTTGGGTGAGGATAAAAAAAAGAAATGGATTTTATGAACAAATAACATTTTTTAAACTTTAGTCATGCTAAAGTATAATGCAAAGGGTTGCCAAATTCCAACAGAGCTGACAAACACGAAAGGAACCACACTCTGTGAGGAGCGCACAGGCAGAGCGCCGAGGGCGGCTCTCCCAGTTCACCAGAGCGACTGCAGCAAAATCGCATGCTTTCTCTAAGAACTGGGGAATTCAGGTTTTTGCCAAATGGCTAATTACACCTTTCCCCTCATTTCCCTTCATCTGAGTGAGTGCCTGGAGGGACTGAATAAAATGCCTCCAAGCACGTGGATGCATTTGTGCGGCCCAGCCCACCACACTGCAGCCTGCAGGAAAGAAAGGCAGATTCCCTGCCCACTGGCACTGAGACTGATCTCTGAAGAAGGGAGACCCCTTACTTCCTCTGTGGTCCTAAAGATCCTGCAGGCAATTCTGAGTGTGGTGCCGTTTCGGCAGAGTTTCCCGTTGTCAACATGCTCCAGTGTCGACATGTCAGTCGATGGCAATGCATAAAGACATGCACTACTTACACTGTACCACCACTGTACCATGCACTAGTTACAGCTGCACTTATTCATGGGTTTTTTGTTTTTTTTCAATATACATACAATCTGCCCTCCGTGTCCCCAGGTTCCACATCCACAGTTGGGAACCCTTCGACATGGAGAGCCCACTACACACTGATCTACATCATTTTACATATGTGGATTTTGGTATCCACGGGATCCTGGAACCAATCCCCCCTAGGATACTGAGTGACAGCTACCGTTAAGTTTCTGGGGAATCAAAAGTCATACGGAGATTTTCAACTGCATAGGGGCTGACGCCGGTAACCCTCACATTGTGCAAGGGTAACTGCATGTGACTCCCCTCCAACATATCACAGGTATAAAAACAAACAAAAGTTCCAAAATAACTGAATAAGTAGCAAACAACTATTATTCTCCTAGTGCCAGAAGCTCTTTCATTTTCTTTGAGTCTGCTTGAACAGAACGTCACTCAGGGTAGCCTGGAAGGGCCCCAAGGGCACTGTGCTGCACAGCACCTTGGAGGTGGGACGTGGGGACAAACAGATGAGTGGTTGGGAGCGGTCTGGCCACACAGGATAGCACAGGGGGCTCTGCGACGGTGGGACAGCTCTGTGTCTTGGTGGAGTGGGAGTTCCACGAAGCTACCCCGTGGTAAGAGCATGTGGACTTACAGACACGCCAGTGCAGCAGCCCGGGGGAAGTGTGAGCAGGCCTAGCGGACTGAACCAGGGTCAGTTCCTTGGTGTGGACACCATGCTGCTATACAAGATGTCTACCTTAAAGGAAGTGGAGTGAGGGGACCTCCCTGACCTTTTCTTTGCAACATACTATGAATCTACATTTGTTTCAAAATAAAGAATTATTTAAAGACCTGACTGGTATGGCTCAGTGCGTTGGGTGTCATCCCATAAACCGAAAGGTCGTGGGTTCAATTCCTGGTCAGGGCACATGCCCAGGTGGCAGGCCAGGTCCCTGGTTGGGGGCATGCGAGGGGCAACCGATCCATGTTTCTCTCACGTCAGTGTTTCTTTCCCTACGTTTCTCCCTCCCTTCCCCTCTCTAAAATAAATAAATAAAATTTTTAAAAAAGAATTCTTGCGCTGGCTGGCGTGGCTCAGTGGATTGAGCACCAACCTGCGAACCAGAGGGTCGCGGGTGCGATGCCCAGTCAGGGCGCAGGCCTGGGGGGCAGGCCAGGTCCCCAGCAGGGGGTGCGTGAGAGGCCACCACACACGGATGTTTCCCTCTATTCCTCCCTCCCTTCCTCTCTCTAAAAATAAACACAATGTTTTTAAAAAAATAAAAATAAAAAAATTCTTTAAAATCTGGGACTAAATAAAAGAACAGTTCTTTAATGCCAGTTGACAGAGAGAAACAGCTCACTCACTACCACACACTGAGCTCACATTGGCTGAGCCCAGTGGCCTCTGAGTTGAAGGCGATCAAAATGGGTCAAGCCGATTCCGAAGCACTGAACAGCTCCGGTCTGGGCGCCACAAAAGCCGGAGCCAGGGCCCTGCGGCCCGCGCTGAGCGCTGTCCAGCCTTCCCCGCGGCCAGAGCGGGCCGCCGGCCAGGGAAGCTCTTCCGGGTCTCAGAGGCCGGGCGGGAGCACCCAATTCAGGAAGACAGACGGGGGCTGGGGCCTGAGAGCGGCAGCAGAAGGCCCAGCGCCACCTCGGGCCCACACCCACGCCGCCGCAGCGGAGGAAACTGAGGCCCGGTGCCGGGCGGCTGCGGGCCGGGGGGCCGGTGGGAGGCCGTCGGAGCCCAGCCCCGGCTGCCCGCTGGGCGCCCCCGCCGGGGCCTGGCCCGGGGGTCACCCCAGAGGAAAACGGCAGACGCGCAGCGGCTTCCGAGACGGGCAGCGGGAGGGGGAGGCCGGCCCCTCTGGCCGCACGCAGGGGTCAGGCCCGGACCAGCTCCGGCCGGGGCTCCTTTCCAATCCCATCCCCGGACCCCGCCCCCGCCTGCTCAGGAGCTCCTGCCCCGCTGTCCACGCAGGACGTGGCCCCGCGCCTGCCCTTTAGCACAGCATCCATCGGCCCGGGAGTCATCCCCTCGGGGAAACGCCCGCCTGCTCGGCACGCGTCTCCCGCTGCGCGGGCGGAGCTGGGGCGGCGGCGCCCCCCGCTCCGAGGGAGACGCACGGCGCGGTCGGCGGCGGGGCTGGCGGGCCGCTGCGTCCGGGGGACAGAGCCCGCCCGGCCCCGGGAGGGACGAGGCGCCCCTTCGTAGCTCCGCTCCCTCGGGGACGGGCTCGGATTCGGCGGCCCGTATTCGGGGCTCTCGGCAGGGGCAGCCCCGCCCGGCAGGGCGACGTCCCGGGGGAGGCACCGGCTAGAGACGCGACGCCGCTAAGCCCACGACCGCCCCGCACAGCGAACGGCCAGCCCCACGGCACGGGCGGCCGCCGACGCTCCTTTCCTCAGGGAGAAGGGCGGGCTCGCGGCCCGTCTGCGGAGCCTTCGCGCCGGGGCCCGGGGACACGCACACTCCGCTGCCCGCCCGCGCGCCGGGCCGAGACGCCGCCGCCCGGAGTCGCAGCCCCGGGAGGCAGAGAGGGGCGCGCCGCCCCCCCCGCGAAAGCGGCGAAAGCGGCGAAAGCGGCGACGGCGCGTCTCGCAGCCCCGGGCAGGGCGACAGGGACGGCCCGCCGGCTGGGCTGCTCGAAGGCACCTCCGTCCGGGGGGGCGAAACACCACGCCGCCGCCGCCCGAGGCAGGGCAGCGGCTCCGCGCGCGACGGAAGGGCCGCCTCCGACCGCCCCCAGGGCGTCCGCGCGCTGCCGCCCCGCTTCCTGGGGCCGGGGGGCCGGGGGCCGGGGGCCGGGGGCGCCGTCCCGTCAGGGGCCGCGGAAGCCCGCGCCGCGGCGGGAAGGCCGGGTACGGGCTCCGCTACTCGACGCCGCTACTCGACGCGCGCGGGGGCCGCTCGGGGATGACATCATGCGGGGGGCGCCTCCGCGGGGGCCGCGCTCCGGCTCCGCCCGCCCGTGCGCACCTGGCTCCGCGCCCCGCCCCCGCCGCGCAGGTCCGCGCCCCCCGCGCCCCCCTCCAGGTCTTACCCCCGGACCCCTTCCTTCAAAGTCTGCACCCCCGGGCCCCCCCTCAGAGCGACACCCCCGGACCCCCTCTCGAGCACCCCGGACCCCCCTCAGGGCGACACCCCCGGACCCCCCTCAAAGTCTGCACCCCGACCCCCTGGGCCCCCGGACCCCCCTCAAAGTCTGCACCCCCGGACCCCCCTCAAAGGCGGCACCCCCGGACCCCCTAGGCGGCACCCCGGACCCCCCTCAGGACGACAGCCCCGGACCCCCCTCAAAGTCTGCACCCCCGGACCCCCCCTCAAAGTCTGCACCCCCGGACCACCCCTCAGGGCGACACCCCCGGACCCCCCTCAAAGTCTGCACCCCCGGACACCCCTCAAACTCTGCACCTCCCGGACCCCCGCCCTCAAAGTCTGCACCCCCCGACCCCCCCTCAAAGGCGGTACCCCCGGACCCCCCCTCAAAGTCTGCACCCCCGGACCCCCCTCAAAGGCGGCACCCCCGGACCACCCCTCAGGGCGACACCCCCGGACCCCCCCTCAGGGCGGCCCCCCCGGCCCCCCCTCAAAGTCTGCACCCCCGGACACCCCTCAAACTCTGCACCTCCCGGACCCCCGCCCTCAAAGTCTGCACCCCCCCGACCCCCCCCTCAAAGGCGGTACCCCCGGACCCCCGCCCTCTAGGTCCGCGTCCCCGGACCCCTTCCCTCAAAGGCGGCACCCCCGGGCCCCCCCTCAAAGCCTGTACCCCCGGACCCCCGCCCTCTAGGTCGGCACCCCCGGACCCCAGACCCCCGCCCCCCACAGGCCGCCGCCGCCACTCACAGTTGCGGATGTCGGAGATGAAGACCGCCAGGCCCCGCATCCCGTCCCCCTTGGACACGGCCGGCATCTTCGGGCCCCGGGGAGCGGCCTGCGCTGACAGGCCTGGAGGAGCAGCGGGGAGCGGGGAGCGGGAAGCGGGGAGCGCCGCCGCCCGAGGAGCCGCCTCAGCCCGAACCACCTCAGGCTCCCAGCGCCGCTCTCAGGGCGCCGCCGCGCGCGCGCGCACGCACGCACGCTCGCGGCCGCACGCACGCGCACGCTCGCTCGCGCGTCCGCGGCGCGGGGGCGAGCACGTTGAAGGCGGGCGTGTGATGATAGGCGCGGGGGCGCCCCCTGCAGGCCAACGCCGCGGGCGGGGCCGCGCTGGGAGCCACCGATTGGGATTCCCAGGCCCCCGCGACGTGCCCCAGCCTGGCCCGGCACCGCCCTGCCCAGCCCCGGCTCTGCGGCAGCTCGCTGTCCGCCTAGGGGAGCTGGTGCGCGTGCACAGCTGAGACCCTGATGCGCTTCGCCATAGCTGTCCAGAGACAGCCCCTACCTGAAGTGACAGGACTGCTCACCCCGACCCCGCGACAGCACCAGGTGACCGCAGGGCGCAGTCTACAATTTGATCCCTCCGTGCCCAGCCCGGGCCCTTTGCCACTGCTGCCACCATTGGCCCCTGCACCCCAGCGGGGTAGAGGCAGGGGGCAGCCCCTGTGGGCCCACACGGCAGCACACAGCGGGGCCCTTGGCCCGCATGACCACCCCGGGAGTCCGTTTGGACGGCAGGTGGCCCTGCCGAGGCCTCCTTTGTGAAGCCGGATGGCTTTGAAGAAGCTCCTTCTGAGTTATCTGGACCCCGCACCTGGAAGTGGCCCGAACCCAGCAGCAAGACCTGCCCCACCCTGGCTCACTTCCTCAGTTCCCGCGGGGAGGTCAGGCCTGGGTGGACCCTCGCCAGGAGGAGGAAGGATCTGGCCCCTCCCACAAACAAGGCACCCCGCCCCCCAGGCTCTGGGCCTCCAAGACCCCTGGGGGAAACCGGAACATGTGGAGACCCAAATTCTTGTTAAGACAGCAATTTCACTACCTTCCAAGACCTCCCAAAGAGCTAGGCCAGTGACAGGGGACGGGGGGGCGGGGGGGGGGTGTTCCTGGAAGAGGGGAGACACCCAGGCCCTGCGATCCCACAGGAGGAGATAACACTATCAGGTCCAGGCCGCGGGACTCAACAAACAGACCCCCACCCTCTCCCAGCAGCCAGGAGCGCACGGGGACCCTGAACAGAGCGCCAGCCCAGCCTAAAGTGGAGGGCTCCCCAGAGGAGGGGCTTGAGGCTGGGCAGGCCTCCGCCTTCTGTCAGGGGGGACTCTAGGCTCCCGAGCCTCCTGGGAAGCGTGTGTGCATGTGTGTCCAGGGCGGAGGGAGTGGCCTCAGGACCTGAGGGGAGACACAGGCGACCGGGCGGTGCAGACAAGCCCTTCAGATCGCTCATCGCCATCGAGCATCGGGCCTGAGGCCACGCAGCCTTCCTGGACCACGGTCATGCTCCGCGAGGCACAGGCCGCTGGAGTGGTGTGCAGTGCTTGGAAACGGTTTCATTTCTTAAATTGCGTAAACTGGACATCTGCGACACTCTAGCCCACTTGTGGTCTCAGCACCGATCCCAAGGGCAGAAGTGGAGCCAAAATCTCTTTCCATGGGGCGGTGAGGGCCCCATAGGTGGATGCCCCACAGTTGGAGGAGAAGGAGGACACGAAGGCGGGAAGCCCAGAGCCTGCAGTGCGGCCAAGGAGCCGAGGGCGTCCTGCAGCCGTAGCTGGCTGCGTCGCGGCTCGTACCAAGGCCGGGGCCAGCTCGGGCCTCCCGTGGGGCCTGTGACCAACCCGGCTTCCATAATGGGTTTCAGACAGTGACCCTTCCAGAAAATTGGGGTTGGCGGCCTGGTCCGGGCATGGCTAGAGGCCCTGGGCACCCATGCCTGTTCAGGGATGGGGAGGTGGCAGTCCTTGGCACCTGGTGGCTACCTGTGGTCACCAGGGATGACATGCTTGGGGAAGGCCAGTCTCTGGGGACCAAGCACATCCGGGCCATGGGCCCCGTGCAGCAGGAGGCGTTCAAGAATCCTGTGGGGGAGGGTGCTTCAAGCGGAGCTGGGCCCGAAGAAGGAGAGTGAGGAGCTAAGGTCCCTAACTGCTCCTGTGACGGTGGCAGGAGGGGCCTGAGACTGCAGATGTCATCTCACAGCCACAGAACTGAGCCCAAAGCCACGCACACAGCTGGGTTCGGATTATTGCAAAATAACCACAGAAATTGAACCTGAGGCCTCACCACGTCTTATGGGAACACTGGCGTGCGGGTGGGGCATGTAGGGGACCCAGGGAAATGCAATGCCATAAAAGGGGTAACTTGGGGTCCCTGGGGGAAGATCTGTATTTCCCAAGGGCCCCTGGCCAGCCTCCCCTCATTGGATGAAGTAGTCCCCATAGTGAAGACCCCATACTGACACCCAAGGAAGGAGTTACTTTCTAAGAGAAAACTCAGTTGCCCTCAAAGGCCCCCTGGCCAGCTCCATCCTCGGAGACCTGGGAGAGTCAGGTCCCAGCACAAAGTCGCACCTGGATGGGGACGGCTGAACCCCCATGACTGCAGGAAGTGGAGTTTACGTCCTGCAGAGCACGTGTGGGACAAATTCCCAGGCAGCAGGCCTCAGGCAGTGAGCTACCTGGGTCAGCTGAGCCCACTGGGGCAGCCGATGGCCTGGAGGCTGGAGTCAGGGTGGCCCAGGACGCAACAGGGTTGAGATGCCAGAAAGTCTCTGGATGCCATGCGGAGAAAGGAACTCGGAGGTGCACTGCTCCCCAACAGGCCGCAAGTCTGCGGTCAAGGCGCCGGCCGGGCCGGCCCCTTGGAGCTGTGAGTGAGGGTCTGGGCCGGCCTCTCCTGCTCTCACAGATGGACGTCTTCCCTCCGTGCACATCCTTCAGCCCCCATTTCCCTTTTCTGAGGTCGCCAGTCACGCCCTCCTAGGAGCCCGCCCTACCCCACTGTGAATTTGTTGTACTTCAGTCTGCATTTACTCTCTTCCCACTTCACACCCGCCCGCTGTGGTGGGGGGGCGGGCGTCGGAGAGGCTTAGCGAGCACTGTCAACGTCAGTAAACCACCCCAGGAGCAGGCAGCTGGTGACACCCACCAGCAGAGGGGTGCAGGCCACAGCGACAGAAGTCCTGCCGCCCCCCAGGATGCGGCCAGCTCAGGTGGCCCGTTCACCCACAGAGCAGGGACCAGGACCTCCCGTGTCCCTGAGTTACCGGTTGCAAAACACACCCCTTGACGTTAAAGGGCAGACCAGCCACGCCGGCAGCAGCCGGCCAGCAGGCCATCACCACACGGGCCTGGTGGTGGGGGCGTCTTCTGGCGAGGGCTGCCATCGCAGGCCGATGGACATTCACCGCCACCCAGCGCGGCTCCTCCCTCTAAGGGCCCTACAGGGCGAGCTGATGGGGTGTATGCCGTTTCAAGATGAGCCTGAGAGAAACAGCTTTAGGGGGGGAAACTTACCTAAGAACATCAGTTTCCCGGGGCCGCCGTAGCGATGACCACAGACCAGTGGCTTCTGAACAGCAGAAGCCGCCCCCTCCCCGCTCCCGGGGCCAGAAGTCCAGGCCAAGGTGTGGGCATGGTCAGTTCCCCGGACGCTCTGCGGGGGCTGCTCCTTGCCTCTGCCCTCGCTTCTGGTGGCTGTGTGACCCCGGTCCGGCCCCCATGAGCTCCTGTCCCCATCCCCCCGTCAGTGAGTCAGAGTTCTCCATCTGTTTTGTTATTTTTTTTTTATTTCTTTATTTTCAGAGTGAGGAGAAGGGAGGGAGAAAGAGAGGGAGAGAACCATCAATTGGTTGCCTCTTGCTCGCCCCCCACTGGGGACCTGGCCCGCAACCCAGGCACGTGCCCTGACAGGGAATCGAAATGGCGACCTTTCGGTTTATGGGGCAGCACCCAACCCCCCGAGCCACACCAGCCAGGGTTCCACCTCTTTTCCCTTGTAAGGAGTCTATTCACTGGATTCAGGCCTCACCCTAAATGCAAGATGATCTCATCTAGGATCCCCAGCAACATCTGCAGGGACCCTGTTGTCAAATACGGCGGCCTTCACGTGCGCTGTGGTTTTGGGATATGCGCAACCTTCTGGAGTCCACCACTCGCCCCACTACGACCACCAAGAAACGCCGCCCATTTCACCGCAGTGACACACACACCGCCCTCCTGCTTTGTGCCAGGGCACGAGCAGGTTGGCCGCAGAACGACGAGGGGCAGAACTCCCGTGACTGACTCCGCGGAACACGGCCCCGTGCAGGGCCACCCACCCATCGCAGATGCCCGCCTGGGGGCCCGGCACCGCCTGGGTGCTGACCAGACGCCTACACGCTGGGCAGCACACGAGGCCCGAGTCTCGGCCATCGCTGGCCAAGGCCAGATGGGCCGGAGGGGCCCCCGCGGGGGACACAGACAGAAAATCTGCTGTGCCGGCCCTGGAGCTCGCTGAGGAGGCTTCCGCGCAGGGGACGTGCCTGCAGCCTCTCCCTGCCCGCTCAGGACTTTGCTTATCCCAGCACCTAGGGAGGATGTCTCCATCCACGGAGGGGGTGGCGGGGAGAGTCAGCAGCAGGAAATCCTGATGTGTGCATTTCTCTTCCTGAGCTTCCGGACTCAAAGCTGGAATGTCCCGAGGCCCAGGAGAGAGAGGACTCAGTCAGTGATAGTAGCCTGGGTCCTGCCCTTGGGGCGACCCCCGGCCAAGGCCTCCCTGATAAAACAGGACAAGTCGGGTTGCCCCTGCCGGGAAGGGCCTTGCCTTGTGCCGGCACTTGGCAAGTGAGGAGCGGCGCAGGGCAGCCTGTGGGGTTGGGACCCCACCCTCGCCCCACGCCAGGAGCCCTGGCCTGCTGGGGAAAGACACGGGTCCAGCCCGCAGCCGCAGGTGTGGCGCACTCCTGCGGGGTCAGCCGCGTAATGGGGTCCCCATAGTGACTCAGGGGTGCCACGGCGGCCGTCCTGGAAGGTGCGCCTGGGGTGGGGTACTCCAGCCCCGCAGGTGTCCCCAGACCACGGAGGGTCCAGTCGGTAGCAGGAAGGTGAGTCTCGCAGGGCCCTGGCTCCATGGGCCTGTCCCTGCCCTTGTCGGTCCTCTAGTGCCCACTGCAGACAGGCGGGGACAAGGAGAAGCACAGGTACGGTGGGCCAGGCTGGGGGTCACAGCACTGCTGGGTGGGTGGGCCCCGCGGGCCCCGCCCAGCAGAACCCCGGCCGGGCGGGCACTGCACAAGTCAGGGGGCCTGGGCGAGGGTCTTAGACTCCGATTTAAAGGAAGTGTAAACAGGATTTACTGATGCTATAAATTCAAAACTTAATTTTTTTTTAACTTGTTAAGCTTAATTTCCCCTTGAAGAGCCTAACAGATTTTAAAGTCATTTTTTAAGGAGCCACTGCACCATGTTTTGTCCCATCTACAAAGAGAGTAAATTAAGCATTTTCAACATTTCAAATTGAAGTGATACATTACGTATCTTTTTTCTTTCTTCAGTACTTTGGCTTGTCCGAAGGGACAGCAAAATCTCAGAGCTCGAAGAACTCACACACTCAGCAGATTACATGTTTAAGCGTGGTGAACCTGCTGTCTTAAATGTTCCAGAAACATGAAATACCGATGTGTTTGGGTTTCACTTAGTACGTAAATGCTCACGCTTTGGCTCTGGTTCTCTTCAACCTTCCTATGCCTCATTCTAATCTTCCTGTGGCTGAAAGATGTGCACCCACTTAAAGAAGCCAGCTTTCAATCTGGGGCCCCGGGCACTGGCCGAGCCGCTGGGAGGCTGACAGCTTTGTCAGACCCCGGAATCCTGCCCAGTGCGGGGCGGGGGGGCGACGTCTGCAGAGGGGGCCGGTGTCGGGCTCCCTGTCCCATCTTCCCACCTGCTCTTGGGGTCTGCAGTGCTGGTCCAGGGTGAACCCTGAGTGGGTTTTACAGTTCTTTAGCTCCAAAGACCCCTGAAGTCAATGGGATCCTAAGGGGACTAACCCTTTCTCACTGAGTGACCTGGGATCTTGCTGGGGCCACCCTGGCATGCGGGCCTGCACAGCTGGCCAGGCACCTGGCATAGCTTATCGGGACCCTGCCCAGAGCCCTGCCTGCCTTGGGGTCACTACGCCAAAGGTCAAGCCTCCAAGCTATGCTGGGTGCCAGAAACACAGAGCTGCCTGGTGACACCTGGCAGTTGGTCCATGACAAGTACCGGTGCACACAGCAGCCCCGACCACACTCCGGGAACACTGGCAAGAAATACGGGAAAGAGAAAGAAGACGACACGATTGGGGGAAAAAGAGAACAAAGTTCAGTTCAGGGAGAAGCCCGTCAAGCTGCAGAAAAGGGGAAACAGCTGAGCAGTAATCCCGGCAGTAGTGGGCGGGGCCGGGGTGGGGACCTGCTGTGTGGTTTTCGGCAGGAAGCTGCTGGAAGCAGCAAGGGATGAGTGAGGGATCTGCCTGCGAGTATCAAGTGATTCAAACTGCGGGCCAAGTGTGCCTTCAGACCATCCCAGAGGCCCCCCTCCCCCACCGCTCTTGCTGGGGGCTGAGAGGCAGGGGTTCTGTTTGCATCTGCAAGACGGTGCCATTGTTCCTGGAGGCGAGCGCAGGAACAGCGCTAGGTCTCAGGTATATGGGGTTTTCGTGTCCCAGCTCCAAACAGCATGTGGGCACCGCAAGCCCATGGGCGGTGACCCAAGCCGAGGGCTGAGATGCATTCACCCAGGGAGATGTGAGGGATGGCGGAGGAGGGGGGGCGGGCACCAGAGGAGTAGGAGGAAAGCCTGGAGAGGCGATTTGCGCGTCCAGGAGAGAAGAACGTGGAAGACGGTAGGATTTGCCCTGCGCGTTCCCCTCGGCCCCGCGCCCACACCAAGCTGAGGATCTGGAGCCTTAGGCGCTCTCTGGCGGTCACACGTGGCTACAGCGCTGACGTCGTACAAGGCGCCCAGGCTTTCAAGGAGCGCGTGCGCTGGGGAGGCAAGGAACCCCCTCCCGCACACGCCGTGATGCCCACGAGGGGACCGCGACACCCCGGGAACCCCGCTTCCGCCCGGCAAGGCTGTCGGGCTCCCCGGAGAGCCCGAGACACGCGGAACTCGCGGCACGCGGCGCCTCGCTTTTCGGTCCTCCCGCCTCCAGGCCCCGTTCGCCTCCGGGTCCAGCCCCCGCGGGGCCTTAGATTCTCTGGGGTTCCGCCCCTTGACACCGCCCCCGGCCCGTAGCCTGGCCCCTCCGCTCACCCCGGCTCCTCCCCTCCGGCCCGCCCCTCGGCCCAACGCCAGACCCCGCCTCAATTCAAGCTCCTCCTCTCTGGGCCCCGCCCCAGCGCGCTTTGCTTTTCGACGGCGACGCGGAACTGGCGTGGCACAGGCCCGACAGGCGCGGGCGCTCTGGGGCGGGACTTCCGGCGGCGCTGGGTAGCGTCTTCCGGCCGTGCACGAGGGTGGTCCGGCCGGCCACCGGGACATGAAGGTGAGCCCCGTGGCGGCCGGCCGGTGTGGTGTCCGCGCCCTTGTCCCGGCGCTGCGCCGCCTCCGCTCACGGCCTCAGTCCCCTTCCGCGCAGTGGGCGCGCGGGCGGCGCGAGGCCGAGCAGTGTGAGAGCGGGCGTGGACGAGAGGGCTTTCTGTGCGGGGAGGACGTGGGCGGCGTGGGGGCGCGGGCGCGAGCCGCGGCGCAGCGAGCGTGGACGTGTGCGGACGGGCGCATACGATAAGACCCTGAGTGGAAGCAGCACGGCACCAATGTGACAGGTGGCTGCGAGCGGGCCGGGAGGGTGGTGGCCGCCCTGTCCTCAGGGGCAAGGGTCCCCATGCTGCTTGGGGTGCACAAGGCAGGACCCCACCTCGCTCAGCCCCCAGCCTTGAAAGGCGGGACTTTGCACACCTTTTCCCTCGCCGCCCCTCGCTTCCCAGGTCACTTAGAGCTGAGCCCAGAGGGGTCAGGGGACAGTGGCTGGTGGCACAACCGGATCTCTGCTGGACTCCTTTTTCCATCGGCTTAGCGTAGCGCGGTGACCACGCGTCCTCCGCCCGCCTCCTGAGCCTGAGGGTATGCCGACAGGACCCGCTGAGGTGTGGGGAGCTCACGAGGAGCTCACGCCTGATACAGCCCGTGGTCATAAACGTCCTCGCGAGCTGCAGTCCTGCCTCCATGCGCCTTCACGCCTCCCCCGCGGGAACACAGTGGGCTCCAGAATTTGCGCTCAAAGGCGAGAGCCGGGATGAATGACTGTCACACTTGCCGTTCCGTTAACGACAGAGTTGACTCAGGGTCTAGCCCGGTGTCAGTGATAAACACGCCGGACACATCATTCAGCGTTTTCAAATAGGCACATCAGTGACTAGGGAGACCAGCTGGCCCGGTAAAAGCGAGTGTCTGAAAGGGTCTTAGAAGAGATAGCATCACCGAGTGGGGGCTCTGCTCAGCGCCTTCCCTGCACATGAACAGCGTGCACGCACGCTGTGTGGACGTGTGAACGGGGCCGTGGCCAGCATTCTTATAGTGGGTGTTCATGAAAAACGCTTGACCGACACTGGGGATCACTGCTTTTTGGGCACGTGGCTGAACCAATCACCCCAGGAGCTCACAGCGGGCCTGAGGGCCCCACCTCCAGCAGCCCTGTGGTTCGGGCGTGTAACAGCTCAGGCCGAGCTCAAGCGTCCAGTGGTCACTGCGCACCGCAGGTCCTTGGCAGCGGCGGTCCACACAGAGGCAGTCACGGGCAGGGGCGGAGGAGGGGCACGTTCAGACACGGAAACAGGGAGCGTGAGCCCAGCAGTCAGCTCTGTCAGGAGCACGAAGCCTCAGGCAGAGGCTGGGGGCCGTCACCCCACAGAGCACAGCAGGGAGCCGTGGGTGGGGCCTGGATCCCCTGCCCCGGGGTGCCCACTCGCCAGGCAGCTCACACACTGGGTCCCTGCCACCAAGTGCCAGGCCTTTGGTCGAGGGAGTCCCCTGCTGGTCAGGGGCAGCCAGCACCCCAAGTGCTGCTCCCCGCTGCTGCCGGGTCCTCCCTGGGCGGCCCTGCCCCACTCCGGGCGCGGGCAGGCAGGCTGCTGCAGTGCCCGCCAAAGCCTCACGCTCAGCCTGGTCCCCTTGTGTTGCTCCTTTGAGCACAGAAGCCAGCAGGGTCGTCACCCTCCAGATTGGCCCCCGCTCCGCCCTTTCCTCTTTCCCCCCGGCGTGAGGTTGCAGGTCCAGGGGCAGGCAGAGGAGCCCGCCCGGGTGAGGACAGCGGGTGGGGTGGCCGGCTGGGGCCGGGGAGGGGAAGGGCACCACCGAGCCCCCGGGTCACTGCTCTGTGAGCCCCGTCAACTTTGTTTCTCGCTCCTTTCCATCCTCCGTGACCCACGCCTGCACCGCAGAGCCGACGGGAGGCCTGCGGTCACCGAAAGGCCAGAGACAGGGCACCTGGCAGAGTGGGACCCCTCAACCCCGGCACTTTGCGTGGCCCCTGCCGGCAGGTCCCTCCTGTGCGCCGGCCCTCAGCTCTGTCACACGTGGGGCACCCTGTCAGGCCTCTTCCTCCTCACAGTGGCTGGGCCACCCCGAGCTGGCCCCTCACGGCTCGGCGGCTGTGGCTTCGTCCCGGCCAGGCAGCGACGGGTGATTCAGGGCAGCCTGCCCCTGCCGTGTCCAGGGTCCCCCGCCTTCAGGAGCTTCCCAGAAAGCCCGTGGCTGCCGCTGTGGCACTGCCACGCTGGGTTCCGAGGCTGGGAAGCCCCAGGGGAGGGGCACTGCCCCTGCTGTTAGGATAGATGCTGCTGTTGTCGGCAGCTCCGTGTCCTCTCTGCTCTCAAACCCTGGGCCGCGGCCCCACACGGCTGTGCTGCGGGCGCGTCAGGTGCCACAACATGGAGACTGCCCCGAGCGCCCGCCGCGCCCGGGGAAGGGACCGCCCAGAACGGCGCGGCCTGTGTGGCTCTGGGAGGGGGAGCTGGTCCAGAGGAGAGTTTCAGAGGGCTGGGGGGCCTGGCGCTGCCTGCTCCGACAGGCGCGCCTGCCTGACCGGGGCTGTGCACTGCCCTCCGGTCAGGGGGCTGGGCCCGGGGGCTGGTCTGGAGGGCGCGCCTGCCAGGGCCCTTCATGCCGGCACGTCTGAGTCTCTCAGGATGGCAGCCGCTCCGCTTCCCTGAGTGAGAGATGAGTAGGTGGGGTGGGAGGAGGGGTCTAAAAGCCAACGGTAAGCTGGGCCGGCAGTGCTGGGAGGGGGGCTGCGGCCGACAGGGCTGGTGTGGCGCAGGGCTGTGTCCTGGGCCCAGTGCCCAGCCCGTGCCACCAGCACCCCGGCCCCGCGATGACAAGGACCCCAGTCGCCAGAGGGGTGCCCCACGCTGTGGGTGGCCGCCACGTGCTCTGCGCTCTCTGCAGGCCCCGGACCCCGCGGTTGGACCCCCGCTGTGACCTGCCCGCCATGAAGGCTCTCCTCCACGTGCTCTGCCTCGCTCTGGCCTGCGGCTCTGCTCACGCCACCCTGTCGAAGTCGGATGCCAAAAAGTCCGCCTCCAAGACGCTGCTGGAGAAGGTGAGGGTGGTCTGGGGCTGGCCGAAGGGCTGACCCATCGTGCCTTCTCCCTGCCCACCAGGGCCCCATGCCCACGTAGCCTGTGGGCCGGTGGGCTGGAAACTCGGCCGGTGCTCTGGCTGGACGGCCTCCAAAGGCGCAGCCTGTGGCACAGCCAGCTCTCAGAGAGGCCCTGCCCTGGCGGGCGGCACTGTGAGGCCCCCACGCAGTCCCTGGCTGAACGGAGAGGACCCCTCTGTCCCCGTTCCGCCTTCTGCTGCGAACACTGGGGACCCCTCCCCGCTCCTGTCGTTTCAGACCCAGCTCTCGGAGAGGCCTGTGCAGGAGCGGGGCCTGGTGGTGACGGACCTCCGAGCTGAGGACGTGGTGCTTGAGCATCGCAGCTACTGCCCCGCGAAGGCCCGGGAGCGGCACTTTGCAGGGGACGTCCTGGGCTACGTCACCCCAGTAAGCTGCGCCCGGAGCGGGAACGGGGCGGTCGTGAGGGCACGGGGCGACGGGCTCTGCGGTCTCGCCGCCGCCATGGGGGCGCAGGGGGAGACGCGCAGGGGTCCTCTGGGGGAGGCCCGCGGTGCCCCCTCCGGCCCTGCTGCAGGGGGCTCACCCGCCCCCGTCCTCTGCCAGTGGAACAGCCACGGGTACGACGTCGCCAAGGTCTTCGGGGGCAAGTTCACGCAGATCTCGCCCGTGTGGCTGCAGCTGAAGAGGCGCGGCCGTGAGATGTATGAGATCACAGGCCTCCACGACGTGGACCAAGGTCCTCGCCTGGCCGCCTGTCGGCGCGGCCCCGGGCCCGGGGGGGTGAGGACGTGCGCGTGCGAGAGGACGCGTGAGAGCGTGAGCGTCTGAGTGTGTGCGCGCGTGACCGCCGTCCGCGCCGGCCTGCACCCCGTCGGCCTCGGCAGCTCGCACGCGCCGGCCTGGAGGGGCGTCTGGGGCAGGGCTGCTCGGCCTCGCTGGGGGCCAAGTCTGGGACGACAGGCACGGGGCGGCGTCTGCCGTGTCCGCATCCGCAGCAAGAAGGAGCCCCGGGCGGGGGTCCTCCCCGTTCAGCCAGGGCCTGTGCAGGGCCCACGGTGCCGCCCGCCAGGAGGCGGCCGGGCGGGGCCCCCCAGGAGCCGGCCGCCCCGGGACGCGCTCTGCCCCCAGGCGCACGTCTGGCCTGCCTGCTGCCACCGTGGCCGTCGCAGAACTCAACAAGCAGGTCCAGGGAGGAGCGAGCACCCAGCCGTCCTGACTCTGTTTTGCCCACCTGCGCCCGGGTTTACGCGGCTGTCCCCCGTCGGGGTCCGTGGGGACACACGTGTCAGCCAGTTGTAGGTTTTGAGACCCAGAGCAGCGCCCTGAGGTCGGAAAGGCAGCATCAGAGCCTGGCCCTCCAGATGCCCCTCCGCCAGGAAACAGCGCTGGGGCCGCAGCTGCCCTGGCCCAGGCCACTCTGCAGGGGGGAGGGCCCCGGGTCCGGCCCACCAGCCTCCCCCGCTGCTCTCCCCTGCGCGGCCGACCGCTCTCCTCCCTGGGATGGGTGAGGGGCTCTGTCCCCACGTTGACTGTCCTCTTCGTGTCCTGCAGGGTGGATGCGTGTGGTCAGAAAGCAGGCCAAGGGCCTGCGTATAGGTGAGTCCAGGGCGTCTGGGCAGTCAGGGTGGCCGGCCCGTAGGCCACACACCGAGGGGTAGAGGCCCCGGCTGGTGGGACCTCCCCGTGAGAGGCCGAGGGCCCCGGGGTGCTCTCCATGCCTGTGGGTTGCACCCCGGCCACTCAGAAAAGAGGCCGGCCCACAGCCTGGCACCTGAGGCCCTCGGTCCAGCCGGGGTCCAGTGGCTGCCCTGCCCGCCAGGCCAGTGCCTCCTTCACTGGTTCCTTCACTCATCCCGCGAGCTCTCATCGAGGGCCTGAGGGCCCAGCCTGAGAGGGACGCCAGCCCTGCCCACCCCAGAGCCCCCAGCCGGCGGCGGGGGTGACAGTGTCCCACAGCACAGCGGGCTCAGCGGGGCAGGGGCAGGCGGGGCGCAGGAGGAGCCGTGGGAGAGCCCTAGAGCAGACCGGCAGTTGGCGTCGGCAGGGAGCACAGGGCCAGGCCTGGGAGGAAGGCGGTCCAGCAGGGGCCAGGCGGCAAAGAGCCCAAACAGGGCTCCAGGCAGGCGGGGACCCACCTGCGAGGGCGGACGGGCCAGCACCTCCGTCCTCCCCCGACCGACCGGGGCCCCTCCCTCAGCAGGCCACGAGCTGCTGGGGTGATCGCGCCGGGAGCCCGGCTGTGCGGTCACTCTGCTCTGGAGGCCCATGGCCGCCCCGGGGGGCGGAGCCGAGCGCAGGAGGGTCCCAGCACCTGCGCGGGCCTGTCCCCCCAGTGCCCCGGCTCCTGTTTGAGGACTGGACCCGCGAGGACTTCCGGAGCGTCTGGGACAGCGAGGACGAGATAGAAGAGCTCGGCAAGACCCTGGTCCAGATCGCCAAGGTGGGGGGGCACGCGCCGCGTCCCTGGGCCGCGGGCCCCCCATGGGCGACGCCCCGCTGTCCGTGCGGGGCCCCGAGGGGCTGGGGAGGCATATGAGTGGGCTGCACACAGGGGGAGCCCCGGCCTCTGTGGGGACCCCCACCGCCCCCCTCAGAGAGGCCCTCCTGTGCCTGTGCCGCGGCCCTCGGGCCACGACCTTCCTGGGGGGCGCAGGCGTCTGCCGTCCAGCCCGCCCTCCAACCGCCTGCCCGCCCCGGTCCCTGCAGAGCCAGCACTTCGACGGCTTCGTGGTGGAGGCCTGGAGCCAGCTGCCGAGCCAGGAGCACAGGTAGGGGGTGCGGGTGGCCCTGCCTCTCGCGGCTCAGGTGGAGCCTGGGCGGGTGCGGGGAGGGGCCCCTCGGGAGGAGGCTTTTGTCCCAGGGCCGCGCTTCCCTGGCCCTGCTGGGTAGAGGGGAGCAGGAGGGGCCTCCCCAGGAGGCCAGGCCGGCCCGCCAGCAGGAGGCACTGCCGAGCCCTGGGGCCTCCTGGGGGCCTGAGGAGGGGCTAGCCGGGCCCCCTGGGCAAAGCATCCATTGGCTGCCCAGCCCTCAGGCTCTGTGTCCACCCTTCCCCGTGCGGCTCTTGGCCGCACTGCCCTGGGCCAGCGTGCCTGGCGGGAGTCGCCTGCCACAGCCACCACCTTGGTCTGCCAGGAACGTGGGAGGACGCAGGAGAACGCTGGGGCAGTGGAGGCTTTCGGCCGGGGGCAGCGGGTTCAGGAACGGGCCATCCCTCTGTCCCCACTCCCCACTCCGCCCCAGGCCTGAGTCCCGCTCCTCCCACGGCTTCCAGAGGGCGCTGGGCTGGGCTCCAGGCCTCCCCCTCTGAGCCACACTGTGCCCTCCTGTCCCAAAGGTGCTGGCCAGCCTCTGCCCAGGGGGAAGCCACGCCCCCAGCAGGGTCTCCCATTTCAGGGGGAGGCGGAAGGTGCACTATCATGGGGGGCGAGGGGAGTGAGACCCCCACCTGAGGCACAGTCAGCTCTGCCAGGAGCCAGCGCGCCCGGGGCCCTGTGCCCCAGGGGGGTGGGTGCGGGGGCCCCGAGGCCCGGTCTGGGGGGAGGTTTGGGGGGGCGGCGATGGCCAGAGCCGTGCCGCTGCACAGCGGGTTCCAGGCAGCCCCGTGCTCTGCGCCCGCCCGGCCCGGCCCCGCTGTGACTGTGCAGGCAAGGTTCTGCGGCGCCCAGGAGGGTCACCCGGGGCAGCGTGTGGGCCGCTGAGCGGCTGGTGCCCGGGGGCGGGGTGTCCTGCGCCTGCAGGACAGAAGGTGCCACGGACGGGCGCCTGCCCGCCGGGCTCTCAGCCGAGCCTCCCGGCCTGACCGCCCTTGTCCCCGCAGGGGCCTCGTCCACATGCTCACCCACGTGGCCGAGGCGCTGCACCAGGCCCGGCTGCTGGTCATCCTGGTCATCCCACCGGCTGTCACCCCCGGGTAAGTGCCACGCTCACTCGGGGCTGGGGCACTCGTGCACCCGCACACGCGGAGACCGGTCGGGAGACCCCCACGCCGGGGGAAGGGTCTTGGACTCAGCGCCCCTCGCGCTCAGGTGCGGCCCTGGGGCGCCACGGCCAAGAACCCACCCGCCGGGAGCTCGGGGCCCCTGCCCCGCCCATGCGCCCTTCCAGACCCCATGGGACAGGGAGGTGTGGGGCCCAGGTGGCCTGGCTGCTCTGTCCCCGCTGCCCAGGGCAGGGCAGTGACAGGGAGGGCCACAGAGGCCCAGGCAGGCTGCCCAGGGGCACTGCCCAGCCCACAGCCCCTGAGGGACCAGAGAGGGTGCACCCCGGGCCAGTGACGCACACTGGGGACGTTCACAGGTTGATAGACACGCACAAGACTTAGCTGACAGGAGAGCCTGCGGGCAGGCCGGCCGCTGCGACACGCCCCTCAAGCGGGCGCTGTCCTCAGGTCAGCGCGCCTCCCCGGCGCTCGGCCCCTGAGGCCGGCAGCGCCCATCGCACGTTGCCAGAGGCCTCGGGCCCTTTGCGCGGCCCAGACAGCAGCCTCCTGCCCGGCTTTCCTCCCAGCGGGGCGGGCGGGCTGCAGGGAGGCGGGGTGCTCTGCGGGCTGGGTTCCAGACCTGTGCGCTCCGCCTGGGGCAGGGCAGCTTAACCCGGGGTGCCTCCCCCACGTGTATATGTGTGTTCACGTACGCGGCACATGGGTGCGGTAGGGCTGGCAGCACCGGTGCTGCTCCTGGGCCGGGGGTTCCTGTGGCTCCTGGGGGCCAGAGCCAGGCCCAGGAGGGGAGAGGAGCTGCCGCTGGGGAAAACGGGGCGGACACCCTGGCGGTCGGCACAGGCTCTGCTGCAGGCGCGGGCCCGCTCCCTGCCTCTCTTCGTTTCTTGGGGGCTTTGGGGGGCAGCTTCTCAGGCAGGGGTCTGCCCACAGCCGCTCCCTGCACGGGTTGTCCGCCCGGAGCCTCGCAGCAGGTGTCGAGGGCAGACGGGCGGTCGATGTGCGTTGGGGGAGCTGGATCCCCCCTGGAGGGACCGGCTTCGGGCCCCGGCAGGGTCCTTCCCAGCTGCGCCCTCATGCCCAGCTCCTGGCACCGGGGCAGGAGGTGGGTGTGAGCCAGGGTCGCTGACCCCCGCCCTGCAGCCACCCAGGGAAGGAGCCGCCTCCGCGTGCCGGTCTGGGGGTGCCAGGGGCGGGGACTGGGGCCCGCCCCCCGCAGCCTGCGAGTTGTGCTGGCCAGCATGGGCTTGCGGGGGGCCCGGCGGCCGCACCCTGGGAGCTGACTGGGGGTCAGCGCTCCTCCTCCCAGGCGCCTGCCAGCGTTTCTGTAGTGGACCCCTGATGGCCCGAGCTCCGGAAGGATTCCGCATGCAGAGGTGCAGTGCCGGGGGCCTCCCCGCAGCGGGGGCCTGGGCCCCCGCCCCCCCATTCGCAACCCACCCTGCGTGCAGCCACTGCGGTCCTCCAGCACAGGGGGGCAGTTTGCTCAGCCTCATGCACCACTGGAGACGCCGGCGCCGTGAGCTGGTTCGAGGAGGGCCCTGGCCATCCCCGTGGGCTGGCTCCGGCGCATCTCCAGCGGCCACAGCTCCCGGCCCCCCGGCGGCTCGGCCCCTCTGGCTCAGTCTCAGGGAGCTGCCCTCGCACGGGACCTGCCAGGCCCAGCCCCCCAGCTGTTGCCACTGCCACGGCCGCCCCTGGGTTGCTCGTGGTTTCCAGTGGCGGTCACTCCGCAGCCAGCAAGCTCCTTCCGTGGCACCTCTCTGCACAGAGGCCCGTGCCCACCGGCCTGGGGGCGGAGGTCGCTTGTGGGTGTGGGACAGGCGTGGAGGGAGCCGTGTGTGCCACAGGGTGGGGTCCAGGCTGGAGGGCCGAGGGGCCTGCCCGCCGACAGTGCCCTCCGACCCTGGTGGGCAGGTGGGCTCACATTGAGCGGAGCAGCTGGGCAGGAGCAGGTGACAGCTGGTGGGGGGCCAGGGCCACTGGGCACAGGGGGCGCAGACGTGGGCACCCCCATCGTGGGCGGGCCTTCTGCTTGTCACCGGTGAGGTGCCCCCCAGAGCTGCTGTGGGGGCTGCTCTGCGACCGGGGGCAGAGGAGAGCCAGCCTGCAGGAGGCCGACTGGGGGCAACACTGGGGAGCTCCCCCATGGGCAGCGCTTCAGCCTCCAGGGTGGGCAGGGGAGCGGCACGAGGGGGAGGGCAGAGCCGTGAGGGCCGGGCCACAGAGGGCTGAGGGCTGGGGAGGCGGCAGGTGTTCTCGAGGGGGGAGGGCACGCGGCGCCGGGCAAGGCAGGCGTCCTGGCAGGTTCGGGTGACCCACAGTGGGCTCCAGGCCCAGGGGCGGCGGCCGGCTGGGGTGACGGGGGAAGGAGGTGTCCACCACGCAAGATGAAGCTGCGGGCAGAGGGTTTGGCTCTTGGAGGCAGACGAGGCCCTTGAGGTGACCGAGTGGACCTTGCACTCGCGCCTGCCTCCACCCCTGGAGCATGGCGCTGACCGAGCTGCCGGCTGCTGGCCTCTGCGCACGGGGCTGAGTCACCTCCAGGGTCTGGCCCGCACCCTCCTGGAGCGGCGGGGAGAAGGGGTGTGGGTGGGGGCGCCGGCCGAGAGGCCAGCAGGCCGTGCGAGGGGCCTCGGGGCTGCGCCTGTGTCTTGCAGGGCCGACCAGCTGGGCATGTTCACGCAGAAGGAGCTGGAGCAGCTGGGCCCCGTGCTGGACGGCTTCAGCCTCATGACCTACGACTACCCCACCGCGCAGCAGTGAGTGTGGGGCCCGGCCCTGCGCGCCCTGGCTTGGGCACAGACGCTCCCCGCCCACCGGGCTGGCACTCAGGAAGGCGAGGCCTGGCTCCTGCGGGCCCATGAGGGGGCGCTGCGTCAGCCCTCGGTTCCCGGGCCCGGTCCGTCCTTCCCCGAAGCCCACGGTGGGCCCGTGTTAGGCGGCCTTTGGCGGGGCGGGGGCGGGGGGCGGCGCACGACAGGTGGCAGCAGGCAGCCCCTGTGGGAACACCATGCCAGTGCCCAGTCCCGCCTCCAGGGAGTGGTGGCCACGGGTGGTGGGCCTGCCCCATCGCCAAGGAGACTGTCCCGCCCCTGGCACTGCTGCCCACCCGCCTTGGGCCTCAGCCTGAGCTGTGCCGCCCCCAGCGAGGCCGGCGTGGACACCAGAGCGTGGCAGGAAGACGCCAGGGGAGACCCACCGTCCACTGCCCCTTCCTTCCCGCTGAAGCGCAACCCCCACCCCGCCCCGCAGGCCTGGCCCCAACGCGCCGCTGCCCTGGGTGCGAGCCTGTGTCCAGGCCCTGGACCCCAAATCTAGGTGGCGGAGCAAGATCCTCCTGGGGCTCAACTTCTACGGCGCAGACTACGCAGCCTCTCGGGACGCCCGTGAGCCCGTCATTGGGGCCAGGTGAGCTGGGGCTCCCTGCCTGCAAGGCAGCCTCCTGTGCCATCCGCCCCTGGGGCCTTCGTTCCCGTGGGGCTGCAGGTCCCCCGCTGGTGACGGGCCGAGCAGGCGGGGAGCCCTGGCAGGGTCTGCCCGCTGGTGGGTGCCAGTGGACGGAGCTTCTCCGAGCCTCGGGCGGGGGCCCATGCCAGCTCTGCCCAAGCCGGGGCCCTGCTAGAGTTGCCCCTGGTCAGCAGGCCCGTGGGCCCCCGTCACTGCGGGCGTGGCCCAGGCGGGACGCCACCAAGCCCTGGAGACTCTTGTCACGGGGACCCAGATTTTCTTCCACTCAAAGGACAGCCTCTCCGTTTCTCTCTGTGGCTGTGCTGGTGTGGGGTTTTGTTCAGGTTCATTCATTTTATATATTTATTCTTGGAGGGAGGTGGGGGGAGGAAGAAAGGCAGAGGATCGGATCACTGACGTGAGAGAGAAACGTCAGTTGGGTGCTTCTCGCCAGGGACCAAACCCGCCACCCAGGCCTGTGCCCTGACGGGGAGTCGAACCGGCAGCCCCCCGCCGACCGAGCCACGCCAGCCAGGGCTGTTGAGCTTCATTTTGCTTCTCCTTCGGAAGGCTTTTGGGCAGGGCATGGAGCTCTGGGCTGTCCGCCTTTTCCCGGCTCTGCTGCGTGTGTCGCGCGTGCGGTGTTGCTCAGCCCTCTGGCCAGGCTGCCCCAGCACCCCCTGCCGTGTGCCTGGCGGGGCCTGCACAGGGCATCCTCCGTGTACTTGGTCTGCGTTGCACTTTTGGGATCTGTGGGCTGGTGCACTTCGCGGGTTTGGAAAGGTTTTGACCAGCTTCTTCAAATACCCCCCTGTCCTTGCCTCTCCCGGCTCTCCAGGCCCTCGAGTGTGTGCACGTCTGGTTGCTGGACTTGTCCCCAGCCCCCTGGTGCTCCTGGCGCGTTCCGAGCTCTCTGTCTTTTCGGTGCTCTTTCTGGCCTTGGTCCCTGTCCTCACGTTCAGTGGCATTTCCTGGCCTGTCGTCTGCGGCGGGTCCCCGGGCCTCTTCTGGTCACCATCGGCCCAGTGGCCAGGGTGAGGCCTTCCCTCGACTGCAGCGTCACCCCCGAACTCTGCACCGGACTGGCTGGTGCCGGTCCCGCCAGGCAGCGGCGGCTCCTCCCGGGGCCCTGCCGCCGGCCCTCTCCAGGCCCGCGCTCTGGGGCGGCTCGGCTCTCGCTCCCCGGAGACCGCGAGAGCTGCCACTGTTCTCCCGACCTGGTCCTGTCGGCGGAGGGCGTCCAGAGACCGCGGTTGGGCACACACGCTGCTGCAGCTCCAGGGTCATGCGTGGGATCCACGGTCATGGGCTGTTTCCGTCCGTCCATCCCTCTGGTCAGCTGCTCTGTGCTCCTGTGCGCCTCCCTCCCCGCTGCAGCCTTGCCCGGGAGGCCCGTGTGCCCCAGCCCTGCCCCGTCCCCAGTCCCTGGCCTGCAGGGGTGGGGATAGGGCGGTTGGCCTCCAGGGACCACCCATCTTAGCTCAGGCCGCTGCGTGCGCCCCTCAGACAGGGTGGCTTGCACCTCAGACACGGCCCGACCTGGAGGCCGCAGGCCGAGACCCAGGGTCACAGGCCGGCCCCCCCCGAGGCCTCTCCTGGGCGTGCAGACGTCGGACCCCTCCCCGTGTCCCCACGCGGTCGCCCTCTGTGCGCGTCTGTGTCCTGACCTTTTCTGACAAGGACCCCAATCCCACTGGGCTGGGACCATGCTGGTGACCGCATTTTACCTTCCTCGCCTCAGTCACGCTCGGAGGCCCGGGGCTCAGACTGTGGTGCCGGAGCTTGGGGACAGCCCCCCTCCAGTGCCCTGTGAGGGGCGAGGCGCCCCTGTCGCCCCCGGGCCTGGGCCCAGCAGCAGCCCACCCAGCGGGGCGGTCCGAGCCCTGGCGTGGCGCGTGGCTCGTGGGGTCAGGCGCGGAAAGGCCCCAGGCGGCCCCGGGGCCCCAGCTGTCCTGAGGGGGCCAGCGGCTGCAGGGAGGGAGATCTGATCATGAGGGTGCACGTGTGTGCGCGTATACACGTGTGTCTGGGTGTGTGCACTGTGCGCGCGTGCACTGGCTGCAGCCCCCGCTGGGGGGGTCTGTGCCGTCTGCTGAGACCTCCCCGCCCCCATCCCCTCCTGTACGCGCCCCCCACGCGGACAGGGCGGGAGGCCGGAGAGGCCGGGAGCACCGATGTCCGCAGGTCGAGGGATGCGGCGGGGTGGAGAGAGGGGCCCGGGGCTGGGGCTGCTGCAGGTCGGGGGGAGCCGCCCCCAGCCTCACCTTGGCTGGGGCGGGTGCTGCGCCCCCACGGGCCTCCCTGGGGGCCAGGTCAGTCCACCCACCCGCCCACAGCGCAGGGAGCAGAGAAGTGGCGGCAGGGCTGCGGCTAGTGTGCCACGAGGGCAGATGGGGGTCAGCGCCCACTGCGTCCTGCGGGGGCGCTGGGGGGGGGACCGGGCGGGCCTGTGACAGGCAGGGTCAGCTCGAAGCTCTTGGAGCAGGCTGGGGTCGCGTCTGCTTTGACTTCAGGGGCCGGCCCTGCCTGGCTGAGAGCCCTGGAGCCCCCCTCGCCCCCAGGCTGGGGCCACACCCTGCACGGTCCAGGGAGTCCTGGGCCGTGAGGGGCTCCTCTCTGCACGCGCCGGACCCCGGCCCGCCCCACTTGCTGCTCCCGGGAGGGGTCCCTGAGGCTGAGGCCCGGATGAGGTCTGGGCCCCACGCAGCCAGGTTCCCTGTGGCCTGTGGTGAGTCCTTGCTGCCTCCGCTGGGGTCCGCGTGGCGTGTGGGCAGGGCTGGGGGTCAGCAGGGACAGCCTCTCCCTGCAGGCGCACCTGGCAAGGGCCCTGCGCCCCCGCGGGATCCTCCTGGGGCAAGGGCTGCGTGGTGGGCGACGGGGTTTGACAGCTCTGCCAGGGGAAGGTGACTGGCGGGACCACGCACCTGCTGAGCCCCATCCCGTGGTGCGAGGCCGCAGCCTGGGATGGCTGTCAGGCCCTCGCTGGACCCTGGGCAGGGCTGGCCGGTCTTTGCCGCCCCATCTCCTGGCCCCATGCCTGGCCCAGCCCTTGTTTCCTCTGCCTTCGACCCTCCTCTGGGTGGCTCCCCTTCTACGGCAGCCACAGCCCCGCGAGGGCGGTCCTGGGCGAGGCCTCCCGGGGTGGGGGTGCCATGGGCAGGGGACGGCACCCACACCCAGACCCACGCCTCCCCAGGTACATCCAGACGCTGAAGGAGCACAGACCCCGGATCGTATGGGACAGCCAGGCCGCGGAGCACTTTTTCGAATACAAGAAGTGCGTGTGTGGCCAGCCGGGCTGGGAGCGGGGGCCGTCCCCTCTGCCTCCAGGGGACCCGAGGGGCGGGGGGGGGCCGACACCAGGAGGCCGACGCCCCACTGTCTTTTGCAGAAGCCGAGGAGGGCGGCACGTCATCTTCTACCCGACTCTGAAGGTGCGTGTGGCCCGGCTGTGACACTGCTGCGGGGGCAGCAGGCCGGGCCCCTCCCCACAGGGGCCCTGCCCTCAGGGAGGCGGAGGCGGGCGGGGGGTGGAGCCGGGCCTGGCCTGCCACCCCAGGGCCGGGGGCTCAGCCCCAGCGCGTCTCGGGGGCGAGGTGGCAGCCAGCGCTTCTCTCTGCCTGCAGTCCGTGCAGGTGCGGCTGGAGCTGGCCCGGGAGCTGGGCGTCGGGCTGGCCATCTGGGAGCTGGGCCAGGGCCTGGACTACTTCTACGACCTGCTCTAGGCCCAGTGCTGGGCGGCGCGATCTCGGAGGGACGGGGACCGTGGGCGTGTGAAATACAGGCTTTTCTGTCGCCCTGGCCGTGTCTGCTGCAGTCCTTGGGTGGGGCAGACAGGGCCCGCAACCCCTACCTCCCTGGCAGTGACATGAGGAAGGACCCCCCCAAAACACAGTCCCTGCCCCCCGTGGCCTGTGGTCCAATGAGGGTTGGGGGCTTTGGAGCGGCCCAGGCGCTCAGGGCCTGTGCTGCTGGTGGCGGGGCTGCGCCCACACCCTCCTGTGGACCCTCCTGCCTGGCGCCCACCAGCAGCCAGGGCCCCGCAGCGGGGCGGGGGCCGCTGCGGAGACCCACCCCGGAGGGGCTGGGCCTCCCCTGAGGGGCTGGGCCCTGGGCCTCGCAGGCGGCAGCAGGGGCCCTGAGGGATGGCCGCATGGGGGCCTGGGCCTGCGCCCTTTGGGGCAGCCACGCTTTCGGGGTGGAAAGCTGGGAGGCAGTGGTGAGGGGCCCCTCCCCTCACAGCCCAGGAAGTCCCCTCGGTGGGCGCACCGGCCCCACGACGGACCTGTCCTCGCGCTCGTCCAGGGCACTGCACTCGCTGACCGAGGCCTGCTTTCCAGAAGCACTTGGGGTCCTGAGTCGGGTCCTGCCCCCTTCGCTGTAGGATGTGGAAGCGGGTAGGTGTCTGTCTTTGCGGGTCGGCCTGGCCCTGCCCACTGGTCCCTCACCAGAGCCGCTCACCTGCCAGAGCTGCTGAGAGGACCACACACCCAGTGTGGGCAGGCCAGCCCGGCGAGCACCCCACGTCTGCCAGGCCCTGCGACCCGTCTGCGGCACCCGTACGGAGGCCCCGGGGCTGTCCCCGGCCAGGCCTGAGAGCAGGCCCAGTAGAGCGGCCCACAGGCCCTGGGAGACAGACTGGCTGCCCAGGTCGGGCCTGAATGGCAGGATGGGCGGGGCTGGGGTGGCCCGAGGAGTGTGTGCTGCCACGGTGTGCGTGCGTGTGTACGCGCTGGCATGCACAGTGTCCACGTGGGCCCTCTGCCTGCGGGCCAGCAGGTGCTGACCTGCACTTCCCTGAGTTGGCTTGTCCCCAAGGCCCCCGCCCCACCCCGGCTTTGAAGGCCTGGCAGCAGCGGGGGAGGCTGGGGCACAGCGCCAGGTTCTGGTGCGTCTGGAAGTCAGCAGGAGTTGGGGGTCCGCCGTGTGACCAGGGTGTCGGTGGATGTGGAGCCAGGGCAGTGACGGGGCTGGGCGTGCACAGGGGGCCCCTCGGCTTGGGGTTTGGAAAACGGGGACCAGTGAAGGGGACAGGGAGTTGAGTGAGGCCCAAGGGCCCCCACACGGGGAGAGGCCGGCCAGGCGCTGCGTGGAGGTGCCACTGCAGGTGGGGCTGCCCGCCAGGGCCTGTCCCAGTGGGACTCCAGTGCCACTCGGACCAGGAGCCAGGGCTGGACACCAGCCCGCACCTGGCATTGATGGCCCCGTGGAGGCTGCGAGTGAAGGGCCCGAGCGTGCGAGTGCGCCCAGGGGCACGCGGGGGTGTGCGTGGGCGCTGGCCGACGGGGACAGCTCTGCCGGATGCAACTGTCCTTGCTTCCGGTCATTTGCGGCTGGTGTGAGGCGGTTCTGTGTACTGTGTCCCAAGACAGCCCCTTCCGCATGAGTGCCGGGTTAGGACCCCGGGGGGAGGGGGGTTGGGGAGCCAGCCCAAGGCAGGAGAGGGCCACAGGAACGCAGGCTGGAGAGTGGGGACAGGTGGTCCTGGAGCCTCTGCACTGCACCCCCCGCCCCCTGGACTCACGCAGCAGGGGTTCTGCAGCTGCCAGAGGCTCATGGCCCCACCGGCCCGGGCAGCAGCCGGCCTGAGCCTGTGGGTGTCCAGGCAGTGCGGTCCAGGCGCTAGCCCCGTGCTCGTGGGGGTCCTGTGACCACAGGGATTGGCTGCACCTGGTCCCCCGGGGCAGGTCAGAGCAAGTACAGACTCTGGTGGGGGCTGCCACCCACGCACTTTATTAAGACGCACTGGGAGCCCGCCCTGCCCCACGCGGGATGCGGGCGGTGGGGCTCCGCCCACCCAAGCACCAGGGGCAGCCGAGGGCCCCTCCCCCACCTGTGGGTGGCCCCAGCCCCTTGCCCTGTGCAGGGTCCCGGGAAAACACTGCTCGGGAAGCACATGGGTGTGGAAAGTAAAATGCACCAGAAGCACCGCAGCCTCCGGCCCCCGAGGGTGGCCAGCGCCCCGCCGCGCCCTCCAGGGGGGCTCCTCCGAGGCCTGGCCGGGGTCCGGGGGGCTCTGCCGCCTGGCCTGCCCTCCCCCACGCCCAGGCTGGTGCGGGCCTCGGTGGGACCGGCCATCTCGGGGCGGGCAGCGTCCTTTGGCAGTGAGGCACGGGGGCGGGCCACCTACGCGTAGGTGTCAGCCTTCACCACCTGGCAGTACATGGTCATGGCGAAGGTCAGGCCCAGGATCTGTGGGGACACAAGGAGCTGGGCAGATGAGCCACGCGGCCCGGTCCGCGGCCGCTGCCCCCCCCACTGGGGCCCGTCGCGGCCACACCCCTGAGCCTGGGACAGGGCCTGTCCGCCTCGAGCGTGGGCAGCACACGGTCGCTGGGCTCTGCCCCAGGCCCCCAGCGGCTCGGCCACCCAGGCTCTGCTGGTGGCATCTCCACGGCCCGTCAGCTCCAGGCTGGGTCTTGAGCCACATGTCCCCTCCCACCTGCCTGGGGGGCCCAGCACCCTCCCCTTCGTCCTTCCGTCCCACACCGCTGCGTGTCCATCCGACCTGTCTGAACCCCAGGGACACTCGCGGCCTGATGACCACGTTCACGGACATGGCCTGACCCCCAGCTCCCCAGGTGCTGGGTTCAGGGCCCCCAGGCTAGGAAGCTGGGGCCACCAGCTGGGCCTGGCGGGCAGGGCCCGGGCCACCCGCCACTCCCTTTGGGTGGTCCCGTGACGACCACCTGCCACTGGGGCTGCAGGGACAGGCTGGCCCGTGCGCAGCATCCACGGCAGAGCCGTCCAGGCTGCACCCCCGCCCACTGGGCAAGGAGACTCTCCACGCGGAGCCCACGTGTCCCCGAGGTGTCAAAGGTCACCCGCTCCATGGAGGTGTCCCTGAGCCCCCCCACGAGACCCCCTCAGCCTTGGGACGTGGGCTCCACAGGGGCAGGGCAACGACCGATTTGTTCCCAGGAGCCCGGGGGCCCGTGCAGGTGCCGGGGGACCGGGTGGGGGCCCTGGGCAGGCCCCACCTTCCGTACCTGCACCAGCGCCGTGCACAGCCCGAAGACACCCACGGCCAGCAAGTTCTCCTGGAGCCACATCTTCACCGTCTCATAGCACGGCTGGAGGGAGAGCGGGCGTCACCGGGGCCGGTGTCCACCCGGCCGGGAGGCTGGCCCTCCTCCCCCAGGTCCCGGGGCCCACGCAGCGGGCGGCGGCGCTCACCGCCTTCCACCAGGTGCCGGGCGCGTGCAGCCCGCAGCCCTCGCTGAACTCCAGGCAGCAGGAGTCGGGCACGCGTGTGGCGTTGTAGACCTCGAACCAGTCCGTGTAGTTGGAGACGCCGCAGCAGCGGAACTGCAGGAGGCGCGGGAGGCGGGACGTGCTGAGGGGCGCCGCCTGCCGCCACCAGTCCAGCCCCCCAGCCCCCCACCCTGCGGGGCCACGCCCCGCCCCCACTCACATCAGTCTGGATGATGCTCCAGGCGTTGGTGAGGCCCACGTTGCCCGGGGTGCCGTACAGGTGCAGGCCCTTCTTCAGGTCCAGCTGTGCATACCTGTCGATCTGCAGGTGAGGCGGGGTCAGCAGGGACCCCCCCCGGCCGGCCAGGCTCCCTCGCCCAGACCCCTCCTGCCTGCCCTCCGTGCCCCCCTGCCTTTGCCCCCGTGGTCTCCCTGGGCCCCGTGGCACTGAGCCCTGGGCCAGTCGGACACGGCAGCCGGGACGCAGCCCGACGCGCAGACACGGGCCCGGCTCCCTGACCGAGAGCTGTGCGGACACGCACACGGCTCCCTGCTGCCCACTGAGGGGTCTCGTAGCTCCAGCACCCCAGGGCAAGCCGCGGACCAGCGCCCGGGTGCCCGAGCCCGTCCTCTGCTGAAGGGCCAGGGCCCCTGGGAGGAGTGGTGGTTCCCGGGAACACCCTGGGGGTGGGGGGGCCTGGGGTGTGTGGTGGCGCCAGAAGAGAAAGGACACGTTCCCTACAACGTGCGGGGGTGGGGCCCGGCCGGGGGTGGGGCCCGGCCGGCGATGCTCTGCGGGCTCGGAGGAGGACGGGGGAGCCAGACAGCAGAGTCCCGGGCTGGGCCCGAGGAGCCAGCCCCCTGTGACTCTGGTGGTGTAAACACGCAATGAAACAAGCGACTGGGGGGCGGGTGTCTGGCCCCGCCGACGGGGGCATGCGAGGGCAGCAGGAGCTCGGGCGGGGGCGGGGGGCAGGCGCACAGCGCCCCTCCCCGGCCCCGGTGCAGGAGGGCCCGGCGCCCCCTGCAGGCCTGCCCCCGCGGGCTGCACTCCAATCCACACCCCAGGCCCCGACCCCTGGATGCAACGCAGGGGCCGCGGCCACCCGCTCGGAGCGCCTGCCCGGAGACCAGCCGGGCCCTGCCGCGGCCAGTGGGCCGCGGTGGCTGCACCTTGTCGCTGTAGGCGAAGAAGAGGGTCGCGGCAGTGGCCTCCAGCAGGAACACCAGCAGCAGCAGCACGAAGAACTGCAGGGACACGGGAGGGGCAGGGGCCTCAGCAACGTGCCCCCCACTGCCCCAGCCCCCCAGGCCCCAGGGCCTCCCACCTTCGACGGGCTGGGCCACAAAGCCCTAACGTGCTGCCACCAACCCCGCCAGGCCCCCCACGCGTTCCCCCCCCCATCTTCACGCGTTCCCTCATCTGGCCTTGACCTCGCGGCTCAGGCCCCAGGGCTGTGCGTGCACAGGTGTGCCTGGGTCTGCGGGGGCCGACGGGCAGAGTGCTGGCCCAGGACGCCTGGGGACAGGGGTGGCGGGAACCCCCCACGCCCCGCCACACCCTTCAGGGAAGCCTGGGGTGGCTG